TCGGACTTTTTTTTGTTTCCACGGATGAAGAGAAGTCTGAAAGGAAAGCGATTCCGTGATGTGGATGAAGTCAAAGAAAACACGCTAAAGGCTTTGAACAGTATCCAGCCTCAAGAATTCCAGCACTGTTTTGAGCAGTGGCAAAAGCGTTGGGACAAGTGCATTAATGCACATGGACAATACTTTGAAGGGGACTAATATACAGTTCAATAAAAATGCAAAAATAAAAAATAACAAAAATAAATTCCAGTTATTTTTGGGTCCCCCCTCGTACATACATCAATATTTCAGAATATTGATAAGTGTGCGACCGGCACTGAATATAAAACTTGTCAAACAACAGTCACAAGACAATCACAGACAGAATTACAGAGACAACAGTTCGACCATAGTTAAACTCTAAACCGAATACCTCAATCAAATAGATACAATGTTACACATACAGTTATACCAACAAGATAATTAGCAATACATAATGATTCTCCTTCCTACTCATATATACATGTGCATACAATAAAGACTACAGTTGCCACATATTTAGATATAAAAATTGCACAGTAATATATTTGCACATATTTCTGACTATAAATCTTTACAATAAAGCAAATATTCATCAACTCAATAAAACGAATTATTGATTAATATTTCTTCTAGTTTTCCAAGGAAAAGTTTCCTGTCTTGTACCAAATGTCTTAAATAGAGAGGCAAACTGTTTAAAATTTTAACACACATATAATAGACTCCTTTTTGCCTTACTGCTAAATGTGACTGTAATACGTGTAGATTCCCTCTGTGTCTTGCATTGTTAAAAATAAAATACTCAAGATTACTTATCATGAAAATCTTCAAAGTTAATATATATTGAGAGGCCATATGTTTAGTTTTTTGAATACTGGCCTGCATATATCTCCCCATTATCACCCTAAGAGTTCTCTTCTGTAAGAGAAAAATCTTCTTAGCATCTGGTGAGTTACCCCAGAAAACTATCCCATACCTCATGACTGAATGAACATATGTGTGATATATCATCCTAAGTGTTTCAGTATTACTACATAACTTCATATTTCTTAATGCGAAGCATACCTTGCCCAGTCTGGGTAACATTAATTTAATGTGTGTTTCCCAGTTTAAAAACTTATCTATTTCAAGGTCCCAAAATTTGATATTCATTGCAACATATAATAATTCATTTTTATACTGCAATTACATTGGCATATTTCCATGATTAAATGTTTCAGATTTTAACACTTTAGTTTTCTTCATGTTTAAAGACAGGCCATTACTTGTAAACCAAAGGTTTAGGGAATTTAACACATGTCTGGACTTTGTTTGGATTTCCTGGATATTATCAGCTGATACTAGTACACTTGTATCATCTTCATACAACAATAACTTGAGATTAATATTTACAGCTAGTGATAAATCATTAATATATAACAGAAACAGCAAGAGACGCAATATTGATCAATGCAGCATTCCATATTTAATAGTTTTCCAACCAGAACAAGTTTTCCCTTTCTAACTATTATACAGTTCAACTCTTCGTTTCCTACCCTCCAGACAGGACTTAAACCACATTATAGTTTTACCACCAGTACCATAGACAACCAATTTGCTCAGAAGAATATCATGAATGACACAATCAAATGCCTTTGTTAGATCACAAAAAGTTCCTAATGTTTGTCTACGTTGATCTAAGGGTTTTAAGATATGATTAGTTAAGGTGTTGATTGCCATTTCCATATTCCTAATTTCCCTAAAGCCAAACTGTTCAGATGGAATTATATTATTTGTATTTATTTGCTACTTTAGCCTATTATACATTACTCTTTCAAGCAACTTAGAAATAGTTGTCAACAATGATATTGGTCTGTAATTTGACATATCTGATTTATCACCTGTTTTATATATAGCTCTTAATGACGCATATTTCATTCTTTCAGTATAGATACCCTAGATATTCTAGACTTTTATATGATAAATTGTTTGGAGGTCCGTGGAGTATAGTTTTGACAGTAATTGTTTGGTTGATGCCTCATCATACGATGTATTTTTGTCCATTTTGTAGGGAATAAAAAAAGGGAAAAAGATTGTTGAGTATTTATTTAGTCACAAGATTGTCACTGCACATAAGTACTGTCACATTTTGTGTGGACAAAGTGAACTTAAATCTCTCCCTTCATGTAAAGTTTGACGTGTTAGCCATATAGACTCTTGTTACAACAGCATTTCGCATTAATGTGTAGTAAATATTTGATGTAAGAATTTAAAGTTGTGTTAAGTAAGAACACAAATATGAACACATTCTGGAAGGTTACCAGATGTTGCATTATTTAATTCATATGTGTCACATACATGCATGCCAATTTATATGTTTATGGTTTTTCAGGTTGTTTTCTTGTAGATTGTGACATTGTGGAGTCTTGTAGGGAGATAATAACATTTTGAAGGAGTATGCTGCCTTTGTCTGTACGGTTGACGTGAGGAACTGCTCCAATTATATGGGTAGTGGTGGTAACTCAGGTCAATTGGGGGTGTAAGAAAATTGAACCCAGTCTGAATCAGGGAATATGGTAGGCAGGAAAGGAGCACTTTCAGGGTTCCAGTATTCTTTTTATATTATCACAGGAGAGAAATGGAATTGTGAGGAAAGGGTTCTGTTTCCAGAGCCACAGTACTGTTTTCTGTCACAGGAAGGAAAGTGGAATGTAGACAAAATATGGCCTTTTCAGGGTGCCTGTTTGTTTATCATAGAAGGAAAAACTGAGAATTGGGAGAAGGTGGCCCTTCTCAAAGCCCTTGTTGACAGGTAGTGGAAGGTGAGAAATCATCCCTTCCTTTGTGAGTCCACATAGGGGAGTTCCATCTCAGAAAGAAGTATGTGTCTTGTCTTTGCAGAGACCCTTCTTTGTTCTGTACTTCAGGGAGTGGATGAGAGGCTTCAGTAACCTGCTGAAGGAGGACCTATCCTCCCTGTTTATTCACAGTTCCTTTTTGTCTCATGACAGAATACAATATTGTAATGTGACGGCTGAAAGCCAGAATAGTGGAGCCAGAGTGGACATCCTTTACTGAGCAATGGACCAGAAATCACGTTCCTGTTACGTGTAGCAGTGAAGCAGTCATTGCCTAGGTAACAAGTTGCTAAACACAAGATTCCCATGACAACCAGGAGGACAACAGAGGAACCATTCAACGTTGTGTCTTCTATGCAGGCTGTGAGGCATAAATAAAAGGCAGTGTGTTCATGAGTTCAAGTAATAGATCAGAGGAGTAGAGATTAGAGATTCATGAGAGTAGAGACCAGTCCAAGATTTGGGCAGCAGCAAGAGATTCGCAAGATAGAGCCCAGTGTTTGAGCTGTTATAATCAGCTGTAATTGTAAACAAGTACAAATAAACCCAATCATCAAATCCAGAACCCATTATTATTAGTCACGGAACCCTCAGTATGCGACAGTATTGTGGCCCTGAAAAGGCCATTTTCATACTTTCTTTACCCATTGGCCCAGACCAGGCTCCATTACCTTAATCCCTTCCTGATGGTCTGAATGACCACCTTCCTAATAACCCATCTGTATCGTCATTCCAGTGGTCAGGTTAGAAATCTGTTATCCATCTATGCAAGTTGGCCACTGGAATGATACAAATATTATGTTTTTGGACATTATCCATCGTCATGTCTTTATCTAAAAACTGTCCTCTTTATTTCTCAAAACAATATTTGAGAGACTGGAATCTGTCTCCATCTTCAGGTAAAAGTTACTCAGCTTGGTCAAGTCGATAGAGCTAGTCCATACAGATTTTAGGTAAAGACAAGATGATGGATAATGTACAAAAGCACAACATTTGTTCTAATGTACCATCGTCACAAACTTTTAGAGCTTATTTACATAAGCAGTATGGGCCTATGTGTATATCCCAATTTTAGAAAATTTGAATGACTCAAGATGCAGCTGGCTAAGATGGTCCGGAGGCAGAGACTAGCTCTATCAATTGGACCCAACTGAGTAGGTTTTACCTGAAGAAGGATACAGAATTCAGTATCCAAAATGTTGTTTTGAAAAATAAAAAGGGCGATTTTTAGTTGAAGACGATGATGGATAATGTCCAAAAACATAATATTTGTACTAATGTACCATTGTCACAAATTTTTAGATCTTAGTCGCTGGAATGATGATACAACTGAACGTGTTCTCACTTCAGCACTGAAAGTGGAGGCAGCATATTCCACCAAAACGTCGATATCTGCATACAAGGTGACACTATGTCACAGCCCAGAAGACCATAGCCTGAGCCATCAGTCCTGTAAAAACTTCAAAACTTTGCTTAAACTCCATGTATTTAGTCTGCAAGGGAACTACACCAACCATTAGGATAATTGAGGAGCTGTTTCAAGGAAATAGCAGCTCTGGTCTATAAAACCGAAATTAGCGGCCACGGGGATTCATTGCACAGACCATGGGACACCCTCTGTCCGCAAAAGTTGGCACTAACTTCACTGACAAGCGGCAGTCGTTCCAACAGGAACTTGCTCATGTATAGTTTATTTAATTTAGATCATATAGTGTCGAATGATAAGGTGATTAGTGGTAGTTGAGTAAAGCCATGAAAACATCAGGATAGTTGTAAAGAACTATAAGGTTCATTTTGGACTCTGTCCATCCTCTGGTATATATATAAGACAAAAACCAAAACGTTTCGGAGACTGGATCTGTCTCCATCCTCAGGTGGATAGGAGAAGATAGATCTACTCAGTTGGGTCCATTAGAAAGAGCTAGTCTCAACCACTGGACAAACCCCAGTTAGTAGAGAACAGCCTATAAACACATGACGACAGGTTCCATCATTGGGAGATAAGAATCACAATAAAAGACAAGCTAAAATTTTTGTGCCAAGCATGCACACGTCAAAAATGTGATAAAACAGTGGTATAGATTAAGTTCCAGGAATTAAGTTAAAAACGAGAGTAAGAAATATAGAGGATGTATAGGTAATTATGCAGATAAAGAATCATGCCACCAGGGTGACTTCTCAAAATAAAACTAAAGTCCAGAGCAAAACTAATGCATTTGTTACCAACACTTGGTTGAAGAAGCCAAAGAGAAGACTTTACACATGGAAGGCACCTGGGCATTGGAGGCGGCATCAGCTGGACAACATCCTTGTGAAACATTGATTCAGAAACAGTGTGAAGGATGTGAAGACGCTGCCTGGGGCAGATATTGACTCTGACCACAACTTACTGGTTGCCAAGTTTTGAACCAGGTTCAAGAAAATTATAAGATTCCAAAAGTGCAGACCTAGATGGGATTTGGAGAAGTTATATGCTCAAAAACAAAGCGTGTAGGAGACCCTAGAAGAGAAACTGAGTGCAATCGAAAGTGAAAGCGGAAATGCTGAAGTGCAGTGGAACAATATAAAAGAATGCATGTTAGAAACTATTAGTGAATTGCTTGGTAAAGTTGAGAAGATAGTAAGAAAACCATGGGTTACACAGGAGATGATGAGTAAAATGGAGGAGCGAAGGAAATGGAAGAATGTCAGCAATGAAGAAGGCAGGAGGAAATACAGGAGATTGAGGAATGAATTGAAAATAGCCAGGGACAGGGCCAAAAAGGAATATCTTGAGAAGATATGCAATGAGATTATAGAATTTCAAAGGACAGGACATTATGATTTGATGTACATGAAGACAAAAGAATTAGGATGGAAAGAGAACCATGGAATTGAAACAATTGGCATCGAAGACTCCCAGGGAATAGAATAGTAGATCAGAGGAAAGTGCTGAAAATTTGGGAAAATTATATTACAGAACTATATGATTGACCTAATCAGCCAGAAACCCTGAAAGTGGAACTGGAAGAAGAAGTACAGTAGATACAGACGAGAAAGGGCCATATATTTTACAAAGTGAGGTGGAAAAAGCTATCAACGACATGAGGAATGGAAAGGCTACTGGAGATGTGCTCAAGTTACTGGGAGAAGGTGCTTTGAAAACACTGACAAAAGTAATAAACACCATATATGAAACTGGGGAGTGGCCGAAGGACTTTACAGAAGTGATAATGTTTGCCTTAAAGAAAAAGACAAAAGCTAGAAAATGCAGTGACCATCGCACAATAAGTCCTGTTGCACATACAGCAAAGATACTTAAAAGAAGAATTGAAAGGAAAATAGAGGATGTACTTGGAGAAGATCAGTTTGGATTTAGAAGAGGAAAAGGAACCAGGGATGCAATTGGGATGATGAGAATTGTAGCAGAATGAACTTTGGAGATAGATGAAGAACTGTGTGTTTGCTTCATAGACTGGCAGAAGGCATTTGACCGGGTAAACTGGACCAAATTAATGCAGATCCTGAAAGAAACAGGTATCGATTGGCATGAAAGAAGATTGATTAGTAAATTGTACATGGATCAGAAAGTTAGAGCGTGACTGGACAGAAGGGAGACAAGAAGTGTGAAGACTGGAAGAGAAGTTCAACAAGGATGCTGTTTATCACCAATTTTGTTCAACCTGAACAGCAAATTCCCTACCAAGGAAGCTCTGGATGGGCTTGTTGACTTCAAATTAGGAAGGCGAATTATTCACACTGTGAAATATGCAGATGACCTCGTGTTAATGGCTAAGGAAGAAACTGTGCTACAGGGTATGATTGATAGACTAATCAAAATTGGAAAGTGCAATGGCATGTAAATGAATGTGGAAAAAACAAAAGTAATAAACATTTTGAGACAACCAACCCCAGTCACAATAAAGATAGACCAAAAACAACTGGAGTATATGAAATGTTTTAAATATTTGGGTAGCTTGTTAACAGATGATGGAAGGTGTACTTGTGAAATTAAATCAAGGATTGCACAAGGCAAAAGCTGCATTTAGCAAGAGGAAGAAGTATCTATTTACCAGCAAATTGAACTTAAATTTGAGAAAGAAACTAGTGAAATTCTACATTTGGAGCATGGCTTTGTATGGTGCTGAAACTTGGACACTTAGGGCAGTAGATCAGAAACACCTGGAAAGCTTTGAAATGTGGTGTTGGAGAAGGATGGAGAAGATCAGTTGGACCGATTATGTGAGAAATGTAGAAGTGTTATTTAGAGTCAGTGAGGAGAGGAATATCCTACACGAAATAAGAAAACGGAAGGCTAATTGGATTGGTCATATCTTACGCAGTACCTGCCTTCTAAAAGAAGTTATTGAAGGAAAGATAGAGGGGCGGATAGCAGTGACCAGACGAAGAAGACGTAAGAAGATGCTGGATGACCTTGGGGACAGAAGAGGATATTCTCATTTGAAGGAGAAAGCTCTAGATCGCATCAAGTGGAGGAACTGTTTTAGAAGAGACTGTGGACCTGTCATCTTGACAGATTACTGATGAATGAATGATTAGCGGAAGACACTGGTTTTCATAAAAACTTTAATTTTGATTTGTTGACCTCTTCATTGATGAGGGGGAACCATAAGTGAGAAATATCCAAACTGAGCTGGCTGATCGGATTAGTCGAACATGCCATGTGAATTGATTCCTTATACTTTCTGTACCTGCTGTTACTTTCAATCTCCAAGACCCTAGCTTCGTCCCAGCCTACCTTATGGCCCTCTTCATATGCATGCTGAGGCAACTTGAATTTCTCTAGAAGACCTTGCTTGAGATTATGCCTGTGTTCGCAGATTTGCCCGGCCAGCAGTCTGCCTGTTTCACCAATGTAGCTTCTGCCACATTCACAGGGAATGCTGTAAACACAATGTGCTTTTATAATCTTCACTCGTGAGACAGAGACCAAAAAGGGATCCTCAACAGATAGCACTGTGCCCTTGACATGCAGGCTCTCTCATGAGAAGCATGACATTATGAGCATGAATTATGTTGTAGCAAGTTCATTGTACTCTCTTCAGTGATGGATTATCACATGCTTTAAGCCAAGCTGTTTTGAACTTAATGGCAAAGGTGAATGTTTTCATCTCTGTGAAGGATATACCAAACATATACTAAAGGTCTGTTGGCGTTCTTTAGGAAACCATCTTTCACACTGTTTTAAGATGTCCACTGCATAACCAACCCATGGAGCACAATCAGTCTTGTTTCTGGTGGATGGCCAAGAAATGCTCTGTCTTTTGTGGATCTCTAAGGTTTGTTACAGTGTTCAAAAGAGCCTGCCACTGGTGCTTTTCCTGGGCCACATGATTCCAGTCCACATTCTCCCACCCTTTTTCTTTAAGATGATTTTAATATTCTCCCCTGTATGCCCAAGTCTTCCAAGAGGTTTTTCACTTCAGGTTGTCTGATGAAAATTTTGTATACTTTTGTGATTGCTTCCTTGGGTCCTGCATGCCCACCTCATCTTCCTCATTTCGATAATATTTTGTGGGAAGTACATAAAAATTATGAAGTTCCTAGTGCAGTTTTCTCCAT